TATTTTTTCCAAAACAAACAAAGGCTACACTGAAATTCAAGAACTTACACTTCAGGATAATTAAAACCACATTGAATTCATCATCATGAATAATGTTTATAACCAGAAAGGCTAAAAATGTCTCTATTGTTTATGTTATATTTGAAAAATCCTACAATATAAGTAATTGAAAACCATTTCTTTCACTGCAACTGTCACAGGATATTCCTGGCAGCAACAAATCCTTATAAATCGCTATGACACATCCAACTAACAGGCGACGTGCCAGATAAAACTCTTGTCAAAACGTATTTTATGGGCCTTGCCCAAGGATGCGGCGAGCGCATAGAAAACGGCAGAAGTCATCAAGGACCTGCGGCCATCCTATCACGTTGCTGCCTTAATAAAATTGATGTTGGTCGCTTTGTCGCATTGTCGCACCGCCTTGGCCTGGCCTGGCCTGGCCGGGAGTGGTCTTGGCCGTTCCATTGCTACATACAATTCCACTGGCCAATGGGCAAATAATGTTGTTAACTCATTTTTAGCCAAGTGTGCGCCACATCGTCCCCATGGTCGCATTTGAGGCCAGCTCGTTGGCCACTCAAGCGCTTGATGGTCTTGATGTCCTTGTGGGCATTTCGTTTTGTCAACATCTCAACGCGACCCGGGCTCGGCTCGGATGGAGCAAATGTAATTAAGCCCAACCACGCGTGTCCGCCGCCTGGAATTATGCTTTAATTTGCGTTAAAGCTCGGCAAGTGTGATTACACCTCCTCTAGCTCCTTCGAGGCGATGGCAGCATCTCTGAAGGCAGTTCCCACATATGTTTATTTACTGCCAAGAGTGCTGGGCAAATACTTGAAGACGGGTACAATAAACAAGCAGCTCAGCTCAGCTCAGTCGCCCGGCTGTCTCCCCGAGCAGCTTAGTGCTGTAATTTTCCCTACTGCCCAGTACATCTACTCTCGGCACTCGACACTCAACGCTCCACACTCGGCTCGAGGCAAATTAAATTGCTAAAAAAGCTGTGAAAAAATGTGTAAAGAACTGGGCGAGAGGGAGATTCCCTGCAGCCGTCGGTTAATGATGCCGCTTTGTGGCCACTAAGTGTTTAACCTTCCAGACTCGAAGAGAGCCCCCAGAATCAAAATCAGTCTCAGGGCCAGAGCCAGGCCCAGACAGCGACATGTGTCCCATATTTTACATGCGTCAAGTCTCGCCGTTCTGCTGCCTGAGCTGCTTAATTTTCCTTGGCAAATAAGCTTAAGACAAAATTTTACGCTAGATTAATGAGTTCTTGGAATCGACGCGCTTTCGGAGAATAATATTTGCAAAAGCCGAGAAAATTGCGGCAAGGACGCAAATTTATCCTGCAGGCAAGCCTTTTTTCAAGGCCTATGCTGAGACAGTGGATCCTTAAACCAGCCTTGTTTAAAGTTTCATCATATTTGCGGCTAAGATAAGGACTTTAGCTTGAAAACCTAAAAAGTAACTTAGTATTTAAGATTGTTGGTATTAAATTCCATTCCATTGCAACATTTTAGCCACATCCTTATTCCGTTTGAGTGGCAAATTAGCCGCTATTATTATATTGGCAGCTGTTTGACTTTTATCAACATGCAAACAGGCCATGTTGTGTTTTTCGTTTTTGCAAATATTTACTTTGGCACCATAGAAAATAGCAATTAATTTTGGCCTTTGATGGCCACATTAGCCGGCGCACCAGGGCCACCGTTGTTGTATCAAAACTGTGTTGCATAAATATATGCACTGGGAGAGGACACGACATGAGGTCCTGGCTAAAATTAGATGAAGTGTGCCAGTGTTCTAGGGGAAATATGAAAGCCAGGACCTTGGAACGGTGACAAGCGGTTTGCTAAATGAGGGCCAGTCTCATTAGAGCATATGTAATTATGGGAGCAAAAACGCCGAGACGCAGCCAGTGAAGGATACGTCAAGGACTGGCGGCGTCAAGCTTTAATATTACATTTTCCTCCTACGCATTTGAATTTCCATCAATGGACCAACAATGGCTCAGGGCATGTGCGGCTGCATAATATGCTTTGGTTTCCTCAGGCTGGCAAACAAACAAACAAACAGACGGACATAAAATGGCGCAATACTCTCGATTATTCCTGCCACGGGCCAGCATGGAAAGTGATTCCCATCGGAAAATTGTGGCCAAGTGCTCGTTTTCATACGAGGGCTATAATGCTTTTTGATCCCCTCCCCATTTCTCTATTGAACGGCAATGCAGAGCTGGCCCTGGTCAGGACTTTTGGCTTCGTCCTGCTCCCAATGCAGCTGTAATTGGCGCACCCGTGGCCGACCAGCTTAATGTCCGGCCCTTTAACTTTAACTTTAAGGTGAGACATCAGAAAGGATGCTGGGACTTGGTGCTTAACTTAAAGATGATTTAGCGTAGTGAGATCTGTGTTAACAGGGGATTTGGAGCATGGAAAAAGCAATCACGATTGCGCCACGGACGACCGCTGGTCAAGGCAAATCCTCAACTAAGCCATTTAAATTGCAAATCATGTGAGACCCCTTTTAGCTGTTATGCCTGGAATCCTGCCCTCCCGCATTCACCTTCAACACCCACTCGGGACACACACGGTATCAGAGAAAAATATTGTCAGGTCGGCGACCTTTTTACGCCACAGCTTGTCGAATTTTTTTTATTTTCATTTTCCCTGTCACAGATTATCTAAATAAAGTTTCGTTTTGAAGTCTATCAGACCAATATAAAACATTTTATATTTATTTTTCATTTGCCGCCAGTTGTCAGAATCCTGTTAACAGAGGTACCAAAATAATAACATCCTTACAATTCGGGCGAAACAAAGGACCTGCAGTCTGAAAAATCAATATGCAATAAGTTTTTGATTGAATAAATTAAAGAATTTTTAATCTCGAAAGACAAGCAAGACTTTGTTTGGCCAGTCTTATTTAATATTGGGTTGTGGAGAGCATTGTTTAAAAATATCTCCAATAATAAAATTCTTCTTCGAAGCCCAACTATTATTTCACTCCACAGAGAAATAAAATAATATATTTTTACTTCTTATATTATTGGCAATCCCTGGAAACTTTTCGTTGTCATCCCAAGTATGGGACACCATATGGTGACGTGTCTCCTGCAACCCAGCATGTCGTCGCGTCTCCGCTTTTTTGTGGTCCTGGAAAGGACTCATTTAAATAAACCCAAATTTATGGCATCCCCATACGCACGCACGCACTTTGAGTGATTGGCGCGCTTAAACTTGGCTCACATGGTTTAGACGGCTGCTGTGCCTTGGCTGGAAATTGGACGGTCGAGGGCTACTTCCGTTCCAACAATGGTGTGATTTATACCATGGGGCGTATGGAAATTTCATTACATGGAGGACTTTTTATGGCAGTATGTAGCAGCTTCCAAACGAAACGAATCGGAAGTTTAGTTTAATCGAAGTTGTTGTCACGATCTGGCGAGGCCTCTGATTGATTGCCCCCCATTGATGTGGTCTGTGTTTCTTGATTTCCTCGGCATGCAAATCACCTTCTTCCCACCACTCTCTATCAAGAAAAGACAACAAAACTTTGGCCTCTTCTTGAGTTTTCTTAATTTTCTTTGGTTTTGTTACCAAATGACATTTGGCGTTTTATTGTTTGTCGCCGCTGCTGGTTGGTTTGTCAGCTTGAAATTAAGTTTTTCTTTGCCGCTGCTCAGTTTTCCGCTTTTCCAGCATTCCGAAAAAGGGAAAATTGCAACAAATTGGAATTTGTATCATCAAGCAACAAGCCAGCGCTGGCAGCTGTGACTTTGAGACCCTTGCTCCTTAGTTTCCTTTGTTTTCTTTGTTTGATTTTGGCAAGGATCCACGGACCGATACTCTTGCATCTTGTGGGTGAAGTGAGTTTTGTATGCAGGTTCAATTTAAGAGCACTGTCAGAAATGTTTTCTACGTACTAAAATTCATAAAATTAATTTTTGAGTAAAATATTAATAAGAATAATCATCTAGTGAAATATTTTTTTATATTTTTAACCAACTAACGTTGGTTTTTATATTCTTACTTATAAAGATTAAAAGTTCAAACTCTAACAGAAAACTACTGTATAATCATACAGTTCTTTTTTAGCCTTTTTGATATTAAAACAAGAAAGCAAAGCTAACTTCGGGCGGAGCCGAAGTTTATATACCCTTGCAGTTAAAACCGGATATATATCGCAAACATCGGATATAGTTGGCCGATCCTTATGGGAATAGGAATATATGCTCCAATTTATTACAATACAAAATCTAAAAAAAGTCCCAAGCTTCTATCTTCAAAAATACGAAAGTTGATATTTCTACCAAATACCATTTCCGATCGTTCAGTTATATGGCAGCTATAGGATATAGTCGGCCGATCCTAATGAAATTTGGTAGGTTGGATCAACTGTCTGTACTAAATTCCAGCTTTCTATCTTCAAAAACACGAAAGTTGGGTCATTTCCGATCGTTCAGTTATATGACAGCTATAGGATATAGTCGGCCGATCCTTATGAAATTTGGCATGTCGTATTATTTTGCCAAAAATAGCTCTCTCAAAAATAGCTCAAAATTTGAACTCTCTAACTCTAAAAATACTAAAGTTATACCATTTCCGATCAATCAGTTATATGGCAGCTATAGGATATAGTCGGCCGATCCGGGCCGTTCCGACTTATATACTGCGTGCAAAGGAAAGAAGGGTGTGTGCAAAGTTTCAAGACGATAGCTTTGAAACTGAGAGACTAGTTTGCGTAGAAACAGACAGACGGACAGACGGACAGACGGACATGCTCATATCAACTCAGGAGGTGATCCTGATCAAGAATATATATACTTTATAGGGTCGGAGATGTCTCCTTCACTGCGTTGCACACTTTTGGACAAAATTATAATACCCTCTGCAAGGGTATAATGAAATGGGAAATAAAATGGAGCAGCTGGGACTCAGATTTGAATAAATAAATTAGTTTAGTTTGTTTTCTCTCAATTTTCAGCTCGCACTCACCTCATAAAAGTAGAACGAATTTAAATTGTCCAATTCGCCGGGGTGCCCCGCTGTGGAGTTGCCCCCGGCCCCCGCCTCCAGTTCCATGCTCATATCCACCTCCGCCTGGGCCGCCACGGCTTCTAAGTCGTGGCTCGGCGCCGATGTCGTCTGGACTATTGCAGCCGAGGCTGTTGCCGCCGCCGTCGCTGCTGGCGCCAGCATCACATGTGATATCGCAGGTGTGAAGTATGTCAGATTAACTGGCGCTGCCATGGCCACGCCCCCGCCCAAGCTGTCATTGAGCGCCCGTCCCGCCCCCGCGGACAGGGAGGACTCCGAGACGGAGGCCAGGTAAAGCGAGCTATCGAATAGCCTTAAATGCAACATTGCTCCTCCTGATAGGGCTTACTCTGCCATGGCCTGCAACGATAAAATCAAAAGATATATTAAATAAGTATTTAAATTGCACCTCGAATGGGAGAACAATCAGTCTGTAATGAAAGAAAATTAAAAGTGTATTTAAAATTTATCTCCCAAAATACTCTTATATTGCCTCTGAGCCCGGGGCTGTGCGAATGCTTAAAAACACATAAATCCCAAATGAAAAGCCGCGTAATAAATGCTTTAAGTACTTCGGCGGCAAAATGTAAAAAATATTTGCTTCAGTTAACATGGCTTTTGTGTGTAAATTTCGAGAGCCAGCAGGTGCAGGATTCTCGGCCTGTTATTAATATCGCGCATACGCCGCGTGTGACATGGGTGACTTGGCCGACTTGGGGGAGTGTAAATCAGGGTTGGAAGCGAGTTTCTTAATGGAAGTCGAACTTGATTCCGACGAAGTAATGGTTATCACATGTAAAATAATACTGATAGAAATTATCTATACTGTATTGTCACTTCACCCGGAAACCATCCCCCGAGCAATTTGTTCACTGATTTGGAATAATTTATGACACCGAACGCGTGTCAAGTAATGCCACGAACGTGTCACTAATTAAATAGAACAGCCTCGGGTTGTCTTGACCCTGGGCCCTTCGGACCGTACAGGACTCGCAGCAATTAGCAGCTAACAATAGACATTTAAACCCTAAATAGCATTGTCACGTTTGCCGACCGCAAACAAAGGAGCCCCTGAACTTTGATGTGGCCTCTCGGAAATTTATGCATGCATATGTGACTACAATGTCTGGCATCCATCTGTCCATGTTCATGGTCGTGTTCGTGTTCCCGCCTGGGTCTGTTGCTCTTTGACTGCAACTTTAAATTGATTAGCCGCAACTTTGCGGGGCGCCTCGCACAACGTGCCCGAACTGAGCAAGTGAACTCTCCTTTAAAATGCCAAAAACTTTTACGCGCCGCTGCCAGGTATTTGGCCCACTAATGCGGGCACGCCACTATTTTGCCAATGATTTATATGAAAAACACAGACGCACGCACCAGTCTGGTCGCCCGCTTTCTTTTCTGACACATTCAATTTGGTCGCCCAGGGTGGCATGGCGGGAAAGGATCCAGGATCCAGGAGCAGGAGGTGAAGGGCCACAAGTGTAAGTTACGATAGTAACTGATTCTCATACATCATTATAAGTAATATCTCTGGTTTGCTTAATTCTCAGGCAAGCCCAGAAACCTAAAGCTATAATCTACTTAATAACATTGTCCTTCATTTGCCTTTAAAATAAACAAATAAAAGATGCCATGGCAACTTGTCGATGGTCATCAGGATAGTCCTCCAGCTAAAATTCCTTATTTGCCATATTTACATACCTATAATACCTATGTGCAAATCTCCTGAGAGCTTAAATCAACCCATTTGTGCTTTGCATAAGTTCCTCTCGGCATTAAAGTTTCAGGCGACTGTTAATGCGCATTTAATTTGCATGCAAAATAGCCTAAAATAAGAGTCGAGTCTAGTCGGCAGGACACCTTCCTCCACCGATGCCAAATCCGAGTTCTTGGTATTAAATGTATTTGCTTCGGCCTTGAGATTGAAAGGTAGGAGAAGGTGAAATGCAAAAGCTGAGTTTGATTGACATATTTTGAGTAAGCTGTCACTTAAGCCAACACTTTTTTTGTCATACGAATTGACTTAAGATACTGCCATTGGCGTCGAAAGGCGCTGAAACCGAAAGGCAGTTTATTGAATTTGATTGCAAAATCAAAGAAGCGCGCAAGAGGATTGTGATATCGCAACCAAAAATAACAAATAACTAAAGTGGATTTTTAAATTCAAGAGTTTTTTTTAGCTCTTTAAAGTCTTAACATAGTCTTTATAGCAAATTGGCTTCTTTGAAAATGGTGGCTCGTAAGTTAAAGATATCTTTTGTCCAGAAAATCTCAATTTCAAACTTGGCAAAAGACTTTCTGTGCAACGTGGCGTATGAGTCATAAAAGTCGAATGCATCTGGCTTTTGTTCTCCCAGAGCCACTTGCTGCATATTTATGTTATGTTGTTGTTCAGTATTTTTGGGAAAGGACGTGGCATTATATAAACCATTACGCTGTCTGCTCCGGAGTCACTTTTAATGTGCTCTGTGACAATTGTCGTGCCACATATTGTGCACTAAGAGAATGGGAATGGGAGAATGGCGTCGTCATGCTGCCTCAAAATGAAAAATTGATTTCACTGCGAAAAATATGGCATCGCAAGATAGCAAACGGGCACTAACTTTATTAGGTCACTCGGTCCGGGGCTGGTCCTGGCCCGTCCTGACGTGTCCTCTGGCTCCGGCTTATGTTTATGGCTCGGACAATGCACGCGGCACGATTTCTCGCATGCAATTGCAGTTCTCATCGCAATCAGAGTCATAACGAGCACAGTTTAGTATTTCATTTCAATTTTATGGAGCGTGACACGTGCATAAAGGATAATTGCCTGTGAGCCAATTCCAGCCAAGGGGACTCGATCGCTGATAGCATGCCACGGCGATTCGTTTTCATTATGTTTGAATTTGTTTCACATTTGGTACTTTGATTGTGCGAACAGCAGACTAATTGACAATTTGAAAGCCGTTTTCGGATCGCACCATTCAGACTGTCTCTAAAAATCCACTTAAGACGCCGGGGCCTTAAGTAGCCACTAAATTTAAATCTAAATGACAGACATAGTCGCACGTTGTGTTGGAAAGCAGACCCCTGAAAACAAAAACCCAAAAAGAAACACACGCAAATTTCAAAATGGTAGCCGAAACTGGATATCAAGGCTCGTTTGGTTGTCTCAGTGAATTTTCATGCCATTTTCTCAGCCCAGGCCGGCTCCCAGCATTTTCATTTCGGTTCGGTTCGGTTTGGCTTGGTTTTGTTTTCTTAAATTGTAAATAGACGAGGCGAGCAAATTGAAAAGTTGCAGCCTGCGTGGCAGTGTGGGCAAGTGTGTGAGTATTCAACTTTTGCGGCCCCTCGGAATGGTCCCCATTGGCTAAAAATGCCGACTCGTCTTTTCAACGTGGCAATGGTTCTGTACAGTGGGTGAGTCTCTAAGATTTTATAACAAAAATTATTCAAAGATCTTTAAAACTTGTCTTACTTGCGAAGAATAAATTAAATGTTCCTTTATCGTGACCCACGTGGACTGCCGACCAGATATTTTTACCTTTTGAATATTTTTACTTAGAGTTTTGATATGTAAAGCCATAGTGCACCTTTCACAGAGCCGCCATTGAATGGCATTTTATTTTATTATTGCACACAGCGTGCTCGCTGGCTGCTTGTGTATTTATATTCAAATTTGTAGCACCTGTAAAACAGTTTGCGAAACAATAAAGACGCCGCCAGACGGCAGACGGCGGAGAGGGAATGTCAGCTGCCGCCTGCCCCTGCAACCTTATATTCCTGGACCATTTGGGCAAAAGTTAGACAAATGTATGTAAATGTAAAATGGGCTGGGCGAAATTGCGTCAAAACATTTGCCACACGAGATTAAGTCTTCGGCCGGGTGGTCCATGATATGTTTTAAAGCTTGACTTTCTTATCGGCCAGGCAGACATTATGAATGGAACAGTGGGTCTAAGTTGACGGGTACGTGGTTACCGGAGGTAAGAGATCAGGCCGAAGCTAAAGCTAAAGCCAAAGCTCAAGCCATAGACATGATTTTTCTTTTCGCTTAGCAATCAGACAAAAGAAAAGTTAAACGAATTGCGTATACGACGCGTTGCCTTGACACCTTGTGTGGGCAGCTGAGCCGCCGAGTGGGAGCCATTTGTCAGGGACTTTCACCGTGTTCTTCTATATTTAAGCAGACTCCCGAACAACCAAAAACAATACACATTTATTATGAGTTTGTACAATAATTTATAAATACTTTCAACCCCAAGGCCAGTGTGTCTGACTGGTTGTCTGTCAAGTTTCCCTAATATGTGAACACACTTGGGCGTTTGATTGATATTTGGCAGCAAATAGAGAGAGAGTGGTTGGGCCGTGAAAACTGATACCTTGGCCAAGAAGACACTTCATCTGCCGTTTCTTGGCGCTACGGAAAGGTGTGCCATAAATTGGCCAAAATAATTAATTCGAATGGCATAAATGCCGAGGGCGGAACACAGGGATGGTTGAGTCTATTAAGTCAATTATAAATAAATTATGCCGCCTTCAGCTCCTGCCCCCAAAACCTGCTGATGCTGGCGGAAAAGTAATCGCCAAGTGGATGGAGGGTGTTAATTAGCCCAGTGAAGGGCGGTGGGGGTGGAAACGAACGGAAGACCGCTGGGAAATTATTATTATTTATGCGTATTCAAGGTATGCACTGCAGGTAATTGTTTCTCAGGGCGAATGAATTGTGAGAGTAATAATAAATTTTCATTTCGTTCAGCAAAGGGCTGTAGATTCCACCTGTCTAGCATGGGATGGGATACAAAGGACTAACCTCAAAGCCTTCAATGTCCTGAAATATTCACACAGTTAAATCACTTAGTTAGCTATCAGCTGATGGCCTCTTACGCTTCTAGTTAGTGCTAATGAAAGCCAACTGCCACGGGCCCTTGCCGCCACATCCTTGCTCTCGTCATCCGTCAGACACACACATACATCGACACTTGGCCATCAAGAGTGAGCCATAAGCGTGAGCGGGGCGTATAAATTATGCAGCACACAGTGTGCCACACACCCTCTCAGCAGTTGCGGGTGCCACGCGTTGCGAGTTAAGTAGAATTTTGAACTTGACTTAATTAGTCGCAAATGCAGAAAATAGAAAATGCCACAACAACAGCTCCACTGGGAGTTCGGAATCTTCGGTAGTGCTGACGAGTCTTCACTATATACCCATATAAGTAATGTTTTATTCAAAAAATTTGTGAATTATATGTGCTTAGTTGGTTGTACATAAGTACAATTAAGAATTAAATAATAATTAAAAGTAGATAAGTAGGCCTTATATCAAGAAAAAACCAAAAGCTTCTCCAAAAGGTACGACTTCTCTTACAGACTCA